CGATTCTTTAAATGATTTGTTCGATATAGCACATAGAGATGCATTAATACTTATTAAGTACGATGAGGATAAGCAATTTTTAATCAAACAGCGCGAAAAAGCACGAACAGGCTGTATGGTAGGTATTGATAAAAAAAAAGAACTAATGAAAAAAACACGACAGCTAAGGATAAAAAAAGAAAACGAAAGAAAACGCAAATCTGCAGGCATTGGCATTCCTTCTACTTCAGGTATGGCCATCAAAAGTACTAATATTAAAAAAAAAACCATATTGAAATAGTTCTAGAAAAAGAAATAAAAATCTATGAAAATCCCACAAAAAGGCCCAGCAAAAAATTATTAACCTCTCGACTATCTGCAGCTTTGGATAAATGTAACGTTAGTGAGCGAGATTGTATACATTTAATAATGGCTTTTTTGGATGCTGTATCTCTAGATCCATCGTCTTCTGTTTTAAATCGGACATCAATTTCAAAACAACGGGAACAATTTCGAAAAAAAAATTACATAAGAATTAAAGAAAAATTTTCTTAGTTTAATGACAAAATAGTAATAATTCATTGGGACACTAAATTACTACATGATATAAGTGGCAAACCAGTCGATAGATTGGCTGTAATTGCTCTGAGATAGCTATTGGAAAGCTTTTTCATTGTTTAATGATAGTATAAGTGTTGATACTAAAATCAAAATGGTAGAACAAATGACAACACTTGCTGAAATTGACGAAGACGATAAAGACTACCAAATAAAAAAGCTGTCTTTAAATTTAAATCAAGTACCTTTATTTTTAGAAAAATGTGATGTATTAATATTCCTGTTTAATGGACATTCAAAGAATATTTTTCAACGATACAAAATTAAAAAATTTTTACATATACACCCATCTCAGTGGTCAAGCTCTCGCGAATACCAACAAGGTAAACAAATTATTAAGGAGCTAAAAGTTGAAAGGTTACAAATATATAAAAATCAAATTAATTGGCCGCAACGAAAAATTTGTAACTTTCATGGCGTTTTACGAAGTTATAAGTAAAGGGTCGCCAACCTACTGGGCGAGACAGTATATTGTCGGACCACAGTAGGATTTAAAAAAAAAAATTAACTTTTTTATATTAAAACAATTAGAAAAAAATATATAATTAATAAATATTAAAGTTGATGTCCGTTGAGTCGTTGATAGTAGATGTACACCAAAACCTCGTGACAGTTGTCACATAACCATATAGATCAGGGATGACCTTATACAAGGCCGTTGCCCGTACCTTATAAACTAGGGGAGTTGATTTTTGAAAGGAAAAAAAAAATACACGAGTCCATTGAAGATGGAACACGCAAAAAAGAAGAAACAGATGATGGTTAAGTTAAATTAAGGGGACTTTATTAAGTAAAAAAAAAAAAAAAAATTAAGTTATTACGAGGCAAAAAACCGAATGGTCAAAAAACCTCGTCTACAAATTAAAGGGGAACAAAGAAAGAGAGAAAAAAAAAAATAGATATTAATAAAAAAAATAGTTACACCTACACTTTTATTGTTAGAGAATACGATGAACGTCTTCGGGTACCCGCCGGCTATTAATCGCAGCATTGCCGCTAAGCACGGCGGGTATACGTCCCAAGTAAGCGACTGGTTTCTGGCAGTTAGGCTTAGCTTGCAAGACGTTGGGACACCCCGGAATAAAATGCACTACGTCACCACATTGTACCAATAATATATTCATCACCCAATAAAAAAAATAGTATCAAACCTATATAAAAAAATCACAAAAAATATGGATATAACATGACAGGTGGTCTTGTACACGCCTGTCATGTTGCGGGACCTAAATAAAAAAAATATAAGGACACCTACAAAAAAAAAATATATAAAAAAAATTCGCCACACGTGCTTATGGCACGGCGCACAAAAAAAAATAATCAGGCTCAAAACATTAAAACAAAAATATACATTACCAGCCCCGAAGGGCTAACGAATATGGAGGCAGGTTTAGCCGACGCCAATATAAATAATAATTACATTATAAAAAAATAACGGACACTCACGAAAATATATATAAAAAAAATGAAAAAAGTTGCAGCGCACACAACAAAAAAGACCGCTACGGACGAAAATTAGCGTACCAGTTCCGACGATGGCTAATTTCCGACAACCCGTCCGACGTTTGACCCGGCGGTCTGTTGGCGACAACACGGCTAGCCTTTGGAGTAGGGGTCAAAAAAAAACCTAATACCCAGTGCCGGAAATTACTAAGAACAATTTAAATAAGGCGACAATGTATGCGGTGAGCAGTGCAAATGACGTTCAAGATAGGAAAGGAG